AAAAACTGGATATTCTTTGAACCAATCTATATCATTGGTTGTATTTTGCAAAGTTTGTTTTTGTTTTTGTTTACTAGTAAATTGATTTGTGTTGATTTTTTTAGGAAAATTTTTTGTAAAATTCAATTTTGTTTTTTGCAAACATTAGAAAAAGTTTATAAAAAGCAATTATCTTTTTTTGATAGAGGTTGAGTGGAGATGTTGGTAAGATAGGCTTGAGTTTAATGTCAAGAAGTTGAGATGAACAAGTTTTAAAAATTAGAGCATTCTTAAAAATAGCAGTGGCTATATAATCTTGAACATGGTTTTGGTCTTTAGTAATTACACAGAGAATATTTTTGACTTTGCAAATAATACAAGTATGGTAGTAGTGTGAGTAAGCAATAATAGCTATAGGTGCGCAATCAGTTTAAAAGTTAGAAAAAAGAATGTATGGGTTGGTTTGAGAAAGTTAGATGTTCTGGAATTTTAGTAATAGGTGAGGCAGGTAATTTGTCAGTTTTTTTAAAACTATTTGCAGAGATTGTAGATCTAGTTTGTAGTTGTGTTTGGGGTTGGCCCATTGTTGTAGGGTAATTGATTTTGTAGAATTAAGAGGTAAAACTTGTGTGGTATTTCCACACAAGCAAATAGAAACTGCTGGTTGTAAAAGAACTTTAAAGTAGTATTGTTATTTTTTATCATCACAATAATCTGGTTTGTGTCAACTGAGAGAACACAAAGTGACTGAGGTTTGTTTTCATTAAGACCAACACCATGACGGTCTTTGTATCTAGAATAGTAGTAGTCGATATCATAAGAGTCTGGCTCTTGAGAATCTGCTAAAGTAGGCATTTTGATTTTAAGTTAAAATTTAACAAAGTTTTTTCTAGGGGTGAAATAGAAGTAGAAAAACAGGGATAATTCTACTGTGGCTAGTGAGGCTTGTATATGTAACCTTGTATAACTATAGGTATATATGATTAGTAGCTAGTGTAGCTGGTATGGCTAAGTGTAATGATGTAGATCATGTTTTGATCTGCAAGATTTGTGTAAAATTAATTAAAACCAATTAAAGAAAGATTATTTTTGTGTAAAATTAAATGTAACAGAAACTAAAGTTGTATAATTTAATTACTAATATTGATTAGTAATAATGATCTGCAAGTTTGGGTGTTCTAGAGGAACAAATTTTTTGCAAAAATTAGAGAGTAGTTTTTGCAGCGAAGTTTTAAAGTATTTTAATTATAGAATTTGTAATTTTTATCTGTTTAAGATGTATTATATATCAAAATGAAGCTATTGTTGAGCTTAATCTTTTTTAATTAAAAAGCAATATAGGTTTACTTAATGAAATTTTAACAAATAGAGAAAAAGTGAAAATTTAAAAGTATAGTTATAATTCTGCAATGAAGATTTAAAGCTATAAAACTAAACAGTTTATAAGTAAAATTAAGTGTAGAATAACTTTACTTAGGCAGCCAAAGGTGGTTTACTTAATAGAAGTTTGGTAAATAGCAAATATTTTTAAGAAAAGTTTGATACAAGTAATTGTCAGAAAGAGTTGGTAATTTGCTTATAAATATTAAACAAATAAAAATAAATTTTAAATAGTATACAATCTTAGTTTTTGTTTTTAAAAAAAAATATATAATATTTTATTTTTAACAAAAATAAGTCAAATGTAAATTTATAAAATTTAAACAAACAAATTTGTCTGCTTATCTGAACAGTTTAGAGTAAATAGTACTATTTTAAAATTACATATAAACTTAATGACAAATTTTTTTATATATAATTTTATAAAAAATTTTATTAAGTAATTTAATTTTAACTATTATTTAAATTTTGTTAAGTAAAAGGTGTGGTGACTTAGTGTAATTGGTAAGTTGTCACACCCCCAAGAGTTTGAATCCTACTGGCAATGAAATTCAAATTTAAAGAATATGTTATAGCAAACTGTATGTAATTTAATAGATCATCAGATCTGTAGCTTTGGTTGTACCAGCTTGTACTGAAAGAATGTAGAACTATAGTGTGATGCAAGAGCTATACAAAACTTAAGTAAAACATTTGTGTAAATCTAAGGGCTAGGGTACATGAAATCCCACTTAGCAAGTTTTGAGTAGAAAGATAGCACAGATTTTCAATATTAGAACTATTATAAATAAAATACAAAGTATATATAATATAAATGTTATAAATAGTATAAATAGTGTATGTATAATATATAAAATAAATAATAGATGTGGTATAAAAATGATAGAGAATAGATATGTTATATGTATAACATTTCGTGCAGTTGATCATCAGCCAATCAGATTGTGACACATGTGATCTACATTTAAGTCGCTTGAATAAATCACATTTTTGATGATATCTTAGCTCTCTGTGATTGGATTTGGATAATCTTACCACCTTTAGATTTGTCTCGACGAGCTGAATCCAATAGTACTAGTTTCATCTTAATTGGATCGATGGTTGTAAAGCTATACTTCAAATAGCTTCTTTTCTTATGTCAACATTCTCTCAGGCTTATTTTTGAGTTCCACGAAAATTTAATAGAGAGAAGATCTGTGGTACAAAGATGTCTTGAATTCTCCATATAGTAGGCCTTTGTTTTCTAAAAATAGTAGACACAGTTTTCTTGTTTCCTTGTGTTTGCATTATTCCAGTTTTAGTCTCTTTCAAACAATTAAGAGGTATTCTAAAAATAAAAATTTCTATGATATTCCATTGCACAAATTCTTTGTCTGCCTTTTATCCCTTAAAAAAATAAGGTTTCTAAACTTCATGTACTACTTTATCTAAAATTAGCTTTTGTTTGTTTAAATGTTCATCTATTTCCTATTTTAGCAATCACGTTGTTGTTTGTGATTATTTTTCTGCATATATCATATAATCTTTTCATGATAGCTAATTGTGATTGTTTAGCTATTTTGGCAATTGTTTGTGCCTATTTTCTATATCAGCTAATCAATTTTTCTTTCTTGTTCCAAATGCTTCGATTTTCTTCTATTTCTTTCTATTTCGTTGTTAAAATTTCTTTGTTTCTATTTTTATATCTACTAATCAATAATCATCTTATATCTGTTATTGGTAATAGCTAGTTGTTTATTAATTTCCTTCTTGGAAATAATAACAATTTTCCATTATTTATTCTCTTAGTTTCGCATCGTTAGATCCTAAAAATCTTTTAGCCACAGCTTTTGGTCCTTATTTTCCTTTAGTTTTTTTTTCCTTTTTTTATTTCGAAAGTTTTCTAATATCTCATCTTTTTTTCTTCTTGTAGTTTATCAAAAACTTTTATTTTTTTTTGCTGTTTCTTGTTGTTGTTTTATCTTGCCATCTTTCTAAAAGGTGTATATACTTTCAGGCTGTGTGCTAAATTTCATCTAATTTAGACATATGGGGCTTGGCCGGTCTTCTACCTTGGTGCGCTATATAGTTGGCCCAAGTGGATATTTTCTCTTTATATTTTTCTCTTTTTTTTTGATATTCGTGGTCTCTTGTGCAAGTAGGTTAAAAACTTATTTCCACTAGTATTGCAAGTAATAGACCTTGCTTGTTGTTTTCTTGGGATAAGCATCTTGCCAATAAATTTTTTTCTTTTCATTTTTGAGTATACATATTTAGAAGCAAGTAGTTTCTAATTAAGTTTATTTCAGATACCACACCATGGTAAAGGAAGCTCGGTTCACGGTCATTTAGTTGCTCTTTACAACCAAGTTCAAAATTTAGAAGCACAGGCTGTGGTAAGAAATCCTCTGAACTTTGAGGCGATTTGAGAAGAATATCTAAGAGAAACTCAATATCAGAAAGTATTTGTTGAACAAAATAGATTGTGAATTTGGGTTGCGAATTTGGAAGATGAGCATCAAGAGTTGAGAGAAAATTCAGTCGAACAAAGTAGAAATTATTTCTGTTATATTTTGTAAATATTAATAATAAAATAATATTTTCTAATAATAATAAATGTAATAAAATAATTAATAAAATTTGTAATGAATAAATTTTGTAATAAACAATATAAAGTATTGCGAATAAAAAGTTGTAATTGAAATAAATCATTATAAATAAAACTATAATAAAAGTATATCGAAAAGTTATAATAAATGAAATTATATCGAAATGTTGTAAAAATTATAAAATTGTAATAAATGAAAAATTAAAATAAATGATTTTAAATGAATAATAATGTTATAATGAAAATAAAGTTGAAATAAATAAAATGTAAAAATAAAATTATAACGAACAAATGAAAGTAGTCTTGAATAAAATTATATCGAGGTGTAATAAGTAAAATTATAGCGAATAAATAATTTTTAGTAAATAATAATAATGAAAAATTAATAAATAATTTAAATTTTAGTTGCTTTTGCAAAATTATAAAAAATATAAAAGAAATATTGTAGTGCAGATGCTGTAATCATAGACCCGTCAGCAGAGTTTGCAGTCTATCAGTGGGTATTGAACTTATGGCTGCTAGCAACAGTCGCAAATCATTACCACTCTACTACAATCAGTAATTATAAAAATTTTTGATTGTATTGTTTATAAATGTTCAAATTACCAAATTTGGGCAAAAATTAAGGTTTGTGTAATAAGGGGTAATATAAATAAAGATATAAATCATATGATAATAGTGTTCGCAAAAGAAAAATTAAAGCAAAAAAAAAGAAGTTAAAATAATGTAAGTGTCAAAAGATAATATATACTTATAATAATAATGATAATATTAATAGTAATAAGAATAATAATAATAATAGAATAATAATAATAGTAAAATAAAGAAAATATCGCAAAGATATCAAACAATCAGACGTCAACGAAGAAATGGTGAGGCTGCCTTGTATGAAGCAATTGGTGTGCTTCAAAATAAAATTCAGAGATAATAATAATATAATAATAATAATAATAATAATAAAATAGTAATAATAATAAATAGTAATAAGAATAATTGTATAGGTTGCAGCATAAAGTTAGAATATTGAGGGCACAGGTAGTGGAGTTGAGAGGAAATGCAGTCTTTATGGGTGAGAGAAGTGGTTCGGTTGACAAGAGAAGTAAATGATAGAGATTTGCAGATTTTGGAGATTAATCAGGTGAATCAACAGAGAAATAGAGATTATGCATTGTTGGTGAGGGAGAGGAATGATTTAAGGGCTGAGGTAGAGACTTTGCGTGATTTGATCGATGATATTCTAGTTCTAATGTAATAATTTTTTCTTTTTTGTAAATAAAATTATAATTGTTCAACTAAATAAATTGTGTATATCCAAATTGATTTGTTATCTTTTCTCTTGTTTTCATTATTTTTTAAGAATGGTGCTTGCTATGCTCTTGAATTATTTGTAAAGATTTTTAGCCTTTATACTAGGATACTGACAACCTAGCTTGAATTTTCTTTAACATCAGATTTAAAAGGATATAAAGAGCTTTTTGCTATTTTGAATGCAAAATTTTCTTAAACAATATCTTGAAAGTCATTTGACCTAATTGATTGTTATAAGAATAAGTATAAAGAGATCTACTCTATTCAAATAGTTCAAATTTCTTGCACAGTACTTATTAAACTTGCCAGTACTAGGCTATATACGTGTCTTAAAGTTTTCTAATAAAATACTAGAATTAGTAAAATAGATAACACATTATAATTTTCTAACAAAATTGTTCCTCTAGGATTAAATATACATCTTGTTGGTTGTTGCAAAAGTAAGTATCTGAAGGTTCTATATACTTTGGTCTTGATTATAATTGTTCTTCTAACCAGTATCTCTAACCACAGCTTCTTATTATTTTCAGGTTCTAATATAATTACCCTTATTTCAGTTATGGTACTGTTCATTTCACTTGAATTTTGAGACTCTTTTGTAGGTTCTAATCTCCATTCAATAGCCTTTTTCTCATCTTTGGAGGTACTTATATCACTTTGATAGCTCTTTTCATGAATATCTTGTCTGTTCGAATTAATATCTTTAGCAGAATTCTGAGACCATCCTAACATTTTGTGCTTATTCCTTTTAGTTGGTTCAAATTTATCTATAAATCTTTCAACTTTCTTCTTCTAGGAATTACACATGGTGATCAAGGGTTCTTTGATATCAATAGGTATTTGTATCTTGACTTTACTTTCTTTTAATATCTTCTTCACTTTGTTAATAAATTCTTCTGTTTTTTCCATAATATTGACACATCCTTCTTCCTTGATTATTTTGTCTTGATTTTTATTTTTGATGACTTTATCTTTACTGGAATAATATTCATTTATTCCAAGTTCAATCTCATTTTTATTACAAGGCTTAATTTCTTCATTAGTTTCTTGCTCTGAAAGCTTATTCTTCATATCATCAAGCTTGTCATTATCATCATCATTATCTTTATTGGTTCCATCTGCTATATTATTATCATATTCAAACTTTTTCATCCAGTTTAAACAAAGATCATTGTTTTTCTTTTTATAGATACATTTCTGAATAATAGCCTTGTACTGATCAATTAGCTCTTGGAAAAGAGGTTCTAGATCTAAGTTTTCTTTCTCAAAATCAAGCTCTGTATTTTCAAAAGATCTGTTTATAAATTCATTAGGAATATAATAAAAATCAAAATTCTTAGAGGTGAACTCTTTCTTGTTTTGAGGTAATAGCAAAGGATCTTCTAGATTTGAAACTTCTAAAGATGCAAGAGGTAGATTTTTCTTTTTTGTAATTGGAGCTACTTGAATATAGGGAGGTAAGTATACAATTGTTATGTCTTCATCACTAGTTTTCATCAGCTTTCACCTATCTATTAAATCTTCTAATATTTCAAGTACTATTTCTAGAGCCTGAGGAAGTTGTTCATCATTAATGTAATTATCTTCAAAGGCTTCATTAATGAGTTGTTGAAATTCAGCAGTTTGTTCATCAATAAGAGTCTTAGTTAGAGCAACACATTTTCTATCTAACTCTTCTACTTTAGGGCATTTGCTAATTATATATCCTGTTATATTACAATAAGTGCACCAGTATATTGTTTTATAATTCTATGATTTTTCTTGGACTTGTTGTGATAAGGTCTTTTTCATTTGATATTGAGTGCTTTTCTTTAAAGGTTGATATATTCTGGCTTGCCTAATGGTAGGTGTTTGATTTTGACCATAAAAATTCATTTTGACATAGTGTTTGAATAGTTAAAAATTCATTATACAGATACAAAATTAAGAATAAAAATTTTCATCTAGGTTTCCAATGCTTATTCTGGATCGAAATCACGTTTTCTCACTAAGATATGCTTAGTAAAAAAGTTGCACAAGGACTTCAAGAGGTTATGCTTAAAATTCAGCTCAAATGGAGCAATATTCATTAACTTCACTCAGTATCAAATGTTTCTAAACATTCCTTTACTTTGCAGATCTTTAAAGAAAAAAAATGCTGTTAACACGTTTTGCAGGTTCCAGTGGCGTTTTCGTCTTATGATAAACTTAGAATAAAAGTTGCAGAAGGTTACAACGGATGTACCCTGAAATTTCAGCTCAAATGGAGCAAAATTGATCGACTTCAATTAGTACCAATCGTTCTACGAATTGGACATTTCTTCACAAAATTTCCCAAATAGAGTCTGTATTTCACAGTCACCACCAATTTGTTATCCACTTCTTTAAAGATAATAGGTAACTTGAGTGACTGTAGCTATTAAATACTTTGTGTAATCCAAACTAGTTACTGTATTTTGGCTAAGTCAGTATAGCGTTTTTACAAAACTTAACAAAGAAGATTTAAGGCAATTTGCAATTATGAAAGAGCAACAATTAAAAGTATATGAAAATACTAATAACTGTTCAGAATTTGGTATACAAAATGTATTTTATTGTTGAAAGTATATGAAGACACAATGTTGAACT